ATGAGATTCTGCACAGATGCGGGCCTAAGTCCAAAAGGCAGATGTGCTCCGGGAAGATAAGAACTTCTGCCCTGATGGTCAGATCCAGACGACCCCGCCACAGCTGAAAACGTGAACCCTCACGGGGCCAGCGCAGCGCTGCCGAGCCCCCTCTGCAGCAGGGCTGTGAGGAGGCGGATGAAGGATTGTCGTGCTGCTACAACGTCCAGTCCCTGCCCCTTACCTGCCCTGCACAAATCTTCCTGTTTGACCAGGACTTCTGAGACGATCTCGGGACCCTAGTCTGTCATCCCAGGTCACCTTTCCTTTCTGCCAACCCTTGCCTCTCAAGTACTGGCTTTGGGCCAGCGAGCAGGCAGGCATGGGCAGGGTACCTGTTCCAGTCAGTTTTGTGGGTAATAACCGCAGTAATTTACTGAGTACTCACTACGCACCTGACGTTGTGATAAATGCATTATAAACATGGTTTCATATAACTCTCGGAACGATGTGGGTATCAGTATAAACATTTTACGGAGGAGAAATACGGGTGCAGAATGGGTTGAACTGACTAGAGTTAAAAGCCAGGCAGTGGCAGGGCCAGGATGAAAATGCGAATCTGTCCCATTCTCGGTCCTAAGGGGACCAGCTCTGTCAAGGAAGAGATGCCTTAGCAGGAGACTGGGGTGCTGACCAGACGCACAGGTGGATGTCAGAGCAGCCGCCTGCCTTTGTCCAGGTCCTGAGTTCGTGTATGTGCTGATTTGGGGACAGTCAAGGATGTGTCACTTCCAAGGACAGGAAAACATACCCAGTCATCCCCACTGGAGCACCGTGTAGACAGCTGCCACCAAGGCCATTCAGGGGCTGTCACCTGACAGGTGCCCGGGGCTGTGTCCCCCTGGTGCAAGTCACTTCTCTGAATTTGTCCCATGACTGAGGCAGGGCGAGAGAGAGGCAGCACCCCCACGGGCCCCACCCCAGCTCTGGATCACACCTGAGGTTGTACCTCGGTCTCTTGGTGTGGCCTGGGATCAGGGTGCACAGCACAGGCCGCTGGGAGGAGGAGCGATTTGGTGCCACGCAGCCCGCAGGAGTGGTTCCTGCAGCAGGCCTGGCCGGGTGGCCCGCGGGGTCAGGCACCGTCCACGCTGAGCCTCCGGGCCTCGCCCTGGAACAGCGCCCGACAGCGTCCGCAGGGGGATCCCGCGGATGACCGTGCGAGCGCTGCCTCACCCATGGCCACGCCGCGGCCACGGCCACGGCCATGCACGTTTGCGGGAAGTCCGCACTGCCTGCCCTTCGCCCCTAGGTGCCTGTTTGCTAAACGTCCTCCGCCTTCCTCTTCTCCCTCCGGCTTTCGCCTCACCCTTTGACCTCCTGACGTCGGGGTCGGGTCGGCGGCATGAGGCCTCGGCTGGCGGGCGCTGGAGGAGAGGGGCGCCTGGCGGAGAGCGCGTGGCCCCGGGTGCCCTGCCGTCCTCGGGGCGGACCCGAGCCGCGCCCGCCAGAACCTCGACGGGCGGCGCGTTCGCGTGCTTGCAGC